CCAAGAAGAGAGAAAAAGGGGGACCATCTTAGGGGCCATCCTTAACGTGACTTCCTGTGTCCTAAAAATTGTAGGTTTATATCATATTTTATGTATATACGAAGTCCAGAAAGGCCTCACATCTGAACCTGGTTTGGAAAGAACCACTTTTTGAGAAAATTGATGAAGAGGAATTTCAAGTGCTGAACGTGCCCATGAAGACGTGAAAGAACAGTATCACCCTCTCGCAAAACATCAATTAAGAGCAAAATATTATTGAAGTGTCTGGCCAGGCTATCCATGTGCAATGAGAAGTGAAGCCTTCACACAGGAGGCACAAGGAAAGCACGTGCAGGACTCCTCGGTGTCCTCAAGTCAGCTATCACTCCTACGTGTCCTGAAGTAATGGAGCCTTAGCTGTGAATTTCATACCGTGTTGCAAAAAATTCCTAAAAATAGTATCTGAAGTATCTAAGCTGTGCTTGAAGGCTGTCAGCCTGTTTGAGTCCTCCAGGCACTGAGCCTAAAGTCTTTATCGACAGCAGAAGCAATGTCAGTGTCAAACTCTCTACCCAATACTCATGAACATCAGTGCCAGGTAGGAGTAACCAACTGTAAGAGCAGGAACCACCATGTCCAAAGAATCTTTGGCCTTTCTACTGAAACTCCTAACAGGCCTGGCAATTAGTGCCATTTCCAGGAGAAAAAATTAGGAACTGACTTCAGAGCAGCAAGTCGTTACATCTGAGGCACAGGGGAGCCATTGGATAGTAGAGTCGTTTTGTCAGGGACATCCTTGAAACCATTGCTGAGAAAAATACAAAGTTCAACAATAAAGTATTAGTCCTTTGAGGCCTCCTTTGTCCTCTTAGTTTTAGTTAACAGTGATTAACTACATTGGTAACGGTGTGATATGAGCCGCCTTCAATTTCCCACAAAAGGGAGAAGGACCTAATGCAAGATCTCGCTAAATGGTACCTGCCTCAGTATTTCAACCTATAAAGTCTTGTCACATCAGATCAATTTCGAGGATACCTTCTGAAATTTCAGGTTTTCAGTAAAGTGTACTAGCGGGTCAGCTGTGTTCGTCGATGATCAAACACATACTTAGCAAGGTATTTTACAGAAGCCCCTTAACACAGATATCTGCTACCAATTATAAGAAACCACCAAAAATTCAAGAGCAATTTATATTTCTAAATGTCTAGAAACACATTCTGCTTCTACTGAAGTTTGAATACAGCCAAGTTTACATAGGAATTAGTAATTGGTGGTAAAGGTCAGGCCTTTTGAATATATGCCTATTGGAGGTCTGAAACCTATTAGACTGTGGTATTATACTTAGGCTCAGTGCTGAGTTTGGATTAAATGGTGTTATATTGATTTGATGAGCTGCTTAGATATGCTGAAGCTTTAATTGAATATATTAGAAGATGTTAATTCCAACAGATACACCCTTAAAAGTAATAGCTTAGTGATTTGAAATTGCTTTCTAGTACAGGCCTTTGCTGGTTTTCAAGAAAGAGAAAGAGGTATTTTGGAGTTCTTAATCTGAGACTGTATGGTAATAAATATCTAAGGAGAGGTTCTTTCTTTTCCTTTTCAATATGGATGAATACCCTTTGAAAGCCAAAAGGGAATTGATGTAATCTATTGATTGCCATTTAAATGCCTTTATAAGCTAATTAGTGCAAAATGTAAAATGCTTCTGAGCGGAAACAAGCAACAACCATGAAAACACAGGAAGGCTCATTTGCTTCTTAGATATACTGGGGGGACAAATGCCCTGATGCAGAGTCACCAACAGGCGATGAGTGTGAATAGTGTGTGCTGTGAAACTCTTATAAAAAATAGGCTCTCTTGTTGTGAGAACAATGTCACGCTGACAGCAGTCATCGTGCACACTTGAAACAGCAGCGGTGTATCTAGCTTTAATCTACATAGCTGGGATAGCGTCTACCTGGGAGACATTGTGATGTTTAGGGAAACAGCCAACACTATAAAATAGGTCACTAGCTGGAGTCTGCCCAGGTCTGAAGCGGCTGAAAGTCATTACCATCTGTTCATCTGAAGCGAGGTGCTGGTTTCGTTCCAGTTCCTACCAGATAGGTATCCACACTGTAAAAGAAACCTTCAAAAGTGTTCCTAGTTGGAAATGGGGTTGGCAGAAAGGAGCCATGGACTGAAGGCTCTAAAGGAGCTCCTTCTAGCACATGCAGACAAGAAGGTGGGTATCTGAAGCTCATTTATGTGTCGTCCCTCTATGATACATTAGGAGGCAATTTTTCCTTGCTGTTGTCAGTCTGGCACCTTTCACTGGCCATTAAGATCAGTATCTGACTAATATCTTTGAGAAACATTTTAGCTTTGCAGCTCTAGGAAGAGTTATACCCATACAAGCTTCTTTATGGGATCTTGGAGAGACTGTCCTGCGCTTCCTGTGTGAAGTCATGGACCGGCTACAAAGCCAAGGTACCGTTCTTGGTGCCTCTACACATGTGCTGACCTCCTGCTCACAGCCAGGTAACTTCTCCCATCTCTAGGGAAGATTTAGCTGCCTCTCACATGCCATAGCCAGAGCGTGTGTAAATACGCATGGGCAACCAGTGTAAGTGAGGATTGCACTGACTTGCTCATGTAGCCGTCCCCTCAGTTAGAAGCTTCCTTTCTCACTGGGTAGATGATCCTGACCCACTCAGCCAACTGTTGCTTAAATCGGTTAAATGCTGGTGGGGAATGGGCAGAGGAGGGTATTCCCCTCAGAGAGAATAAGCATCACACTGTACCCAGGAGAACTCATGGCTTTTTCTGACTCAGACCACTATCGCTCCCACTGATGCTCTAGTAGTAGTGAGAAAAGCACTTACAGGGTGAAAAGCATCCCAAACCACAAAGCAGGCATAGTCTGTGCAGCAGGCGCTCAGAAACCAAGTGTCCTCTAAGAGTTATTTCAAGTTTCAGCCATCATTACCATCTTACTAAGTAGCTAATAAAGACTGTACAACGAAGTATTTATGTGAACATATGCATTTAATCTAAGGCAAAGCTTTTGCCCTTCTCAAATCAACTGACGAAGACTCTAATTACAACAGTTTCATGGCTGCATCACTCTATTCAAATTAATTACTCTGCAAAAGTTAATACAACTGAAATTATGTTGTGTGCCTTGAGAACGCTGAGGAGAGAGAAGCACCTCTTAGGGCCCATTCTCCTTCCTACTTGGCCCATCCGGATCACCCAGAGCAGGCGTTACGCCCCGCTCCACCACTACCGGGGCTCTGCTCTCCTCCTTCCCCATCAGACTCCTCTCCCTGCCTGATGGAGCTGGCAGCTCCTGACAGATCAACCTCATTTACAGCCCCGCTTTCTCCAGCACCAGGAGAGAGTCACAGCTCATCTCAAGACTATTAACAGCACAACAAAGTATTCATGCATTTACTAGACTTCGTATCCTTTCACACGAAACACTCATTCCTTTGATCTCTCGGTGAGAAGGGATTTCCTTGTTATGTCAAACTATTAAGGAAATGAAGAAACACCCCCATACAATCCCTCCTTCTGTATTAACAGTAATGAGGTATTCAAAAGAAGATTTTTTTTTTTCCCCTAAGAACAGTATCGTGACTGTAAACAGCACCAATATTTCTAATCAAGTTGTGCTACCACCTCCGACAGGTCCACTCAACTCATTTTTGCTGTGCAGATAACACTGCCTCAGGCTGATAATTAAACAGAATACAAATTTTTACACACTCATGTCACCCTTACAAGGTCAGTGTTTATCTTACAGGATTTTAATAAAAACAGAAGTTGTCGTGATGTACCAGCCACCACAGTTAATTAAGAACTACTGAGTATCTATTTTTATATAAAGACATTACATATAAGGCCGAGTACAAAAGCTTCATAAAATACCTTTGCATTCACTTCCAGCTTTACGTCAGATTTATACATACATGTAAGTGTGTGTGTGGTCACGTATTGAAATTTTAAGCAAATTCAAGGAGCCATCAGTATTTATTCAAGGAGCCATCAGTATTTAATCAGCCTACAGCAGCAAGGGTTTTTTTGTCTCCCTCCTCCCTCACGCTTGCACCTGGCCAGTATGCGTGACAGGCAACAATTAGTCCTGCAGCACTGACCACTTTTCTATACAAAAAAATGTTGGTTTGAATGGCATCTGATTGGCACTGCTGAGAGAGAACCAAGAGCTCCCTGAAAAGAGCTGAGCATTTCAGTTCATCCTTGGAAAGGCCAGAAATAAGAGCTTTTCATGTCGCAATGTTTTTAGATACATAAAAGTGGTCCGAGGTCATATTTAGAGTTTTTAATGACCCTCATCAAACTCTCTGCAGTCCAGGCTTGGCAAGTGGAGAAAGAAAGGACGATCTTAAATAAAAGTGTCTACTTCCCCCTACCCCCAAATATTGCAAACCCAGCATTTCCCTAACCAAGGTGGATACACACCAGTGTTCTGGGGTACGAACGTTTCACCCCTGACTGCTTGATACAGCCACGGCCAGATGCTGGCGAGCAATGACAACATAGCAACAACTGCAGCAATCAATGTACCATATAGAAACGAAAGGCAACACATGCCTCCCATCCCCCTTCTCATGCTGGCAAGTGAACACCGATGTCGGATGGCTTTAACGGCTGCCAGCTGGGCAAACAGAGCAAGTAGGTCAAGAGCATCACTCCTCCAAGAGTTTTCTTTGCTAAATATTGTGCTAACGACTGCATTATTGTTCATCAGACCAAGGTTCTGAAACCGGTGTTAAAAAAACCCTTCCCGTGATAGCAGAGGTCAGGTTTTCCATCTTGAGATGTTTCAGGTTGAGCAAACCCGCCCATTTTTGATAAAATGCCTTTTGATATTAAAATCTGCACTCAGGCCTGTCCTGATTGCACAAAGCAGCTTTCATCAGAACGGCTATGACAGCTGGGTAGAAACAAACGACTGAAAAAATATTAGGCACTTACAGTTTAGGAAAGCTCTAATGGAGATTTAACAGACTTACTCTAAAGAATTCTTTGGTTGAGCCTGAATCCAAAGTGCCATAGGCTATTTCGGTTTGTTTAGCCAGGTCCTCTGCGCTCTCTATGGGAGAAACCATCCTTTCCACCGTAAGGAAGGCAGCAAGATTAGCAGTGTAGGAAGAGATAATGATGAGAGTGAAGAACCACCAGACTCCTCCGACAATTCGCCCTGAGAGAGATCTATGGAAAAACACACATCGTCAAATTGCTTTGAAGACATTCCTTCATTTTCTTTTTTTTTCATTGAAGAGAAATTCACGTGCACAACCCTTTTGTTCAGATCCTCCAGGTCCCTGTGAACAGGCGGACTGTGAGCCAGTTCCTGATGGCCTTTCTCAGGAGAGCAAACTCGGCGTGCACCTGGTCTTACCTAGTTAAACTCTCCACTCTTTCAGTGAAAACAAGGACAGTCAATTAAGAAATAATTCATCTGAGCCAAGCCCATCGGAGGCTTGGAGAGGAACAAGCTCTCCTGACTTCCGCAGACCCTTTGCTGAAGAAGTCTTTTGCCAGAAGACTTTTGTCTTCTCTGCTTGCCCAGCCTCTCCCTGAGGCTGGATTTGCCTGCTGCGATATGCCAGCATCGTGTCTCTGGGGGCTGCCCAGCTTGGAGGACACGAATGTACCCTTTCCTGCATCGACTCTCAAAATGTAAGATGTAATAAACTGCAAAAAGGAATCTGAGTAAACATGCAAAGGAATAAACCAAAAATGATCTAGTATCCTTCTCTCATCACAACCTAGCAGGAATTACAGACCGAATCTGCAATATTGAAGTGAGGAGAGAGGCTGGTTTATGTTTTATGTTAATTAAAATTTGCATGTTGCACTGTTCCAAGTCAAGCGTATTCCTGCTTTATAACCACCAGAGCAACAGAGAAGGAAGCAGAAAAAAAATTGTGTTCCATTTTTGTTGTTTTTTGTGGTTTTTTTTGTTTTTTAAAAGAATACCATAAGGACTAAAAAAAAGCCTATTTGTAAACATATAATTACAAAATGCCTAGCGGTCAGGAGGTCTAGATCCTGTCAGTAAGAGCTCTTGATGCTTTAAAGCAATTGAACATCAGGCTCAAAATATCTGTTTGGGGCTGAAGGATGCCAGTGCCCTGCCGCTCAGCTGGGTGGGGAATTTCACCGCCACGCACAGTGCTCATTCTTCAAACACCGCATGTTGACCAGGAATCATTTCAGGAGCTGAGACAAAGCTATTTCATATGTTTTCCCTTAACTCTACTAATACCAGTGGAGGAAGAATCAATCCCAGATACATTAAATCCGTGGAACCTGGGTGCTGTAGTCCTCAGTTTGTGTGAAGGGAAGAAATAGAAAGCAAGAAAACTCTTACCTGTTTATTTGCTTCCTTCAAGCCCCTCAGTGCCATCCCCAGACAGTGGGTACAAGTTGTCCTACCAACAGATGGAGACAGGAAAAAAGCAAAAGTCTCGTGATGTGCCCCCACCCACCCACACAGGGGGGTTAGCTGGTAAACTGCCTAGTCTTGGCCAGAGCCTGAGATTGCCTGAGCCATTAAAAAAACCCCACTAAATTATTAAGAAAAAAAGAAAGAAAAAAAAAAAATCCATCCAACATTAAAGAACACACCAAAGAAAAAAAATCACCAACACCATAAAAACAGAGAGAGCACTCTGGAATAGGTTAGAGGAATGTGGAGAAACAAACTAAGAGGTGAAAAATCCATCACATTAAAGAACACACCAAAGAAAAAAAATCACCAACACCATAAAAACAGAGAGAGCACTCTGGAATAGGTTAGAGGAATGTGGAGAAACAAACTAAGAGGTGAAGCACTACTGTTCTCCACTCTCCTCTGCCCAAGAAACTGAAGCAGCAGCTCCCACCGAGAGGGCAGATGCAGGCTGGTTCCTATGGATTACAGCATGCACCACCTGCCAGCGCAGTTAGCACCCCAGGGACTGCTGCATCAAGTCTGTACCAATGTGCAAGGCGGTTCAGGTGGTTATAAAGCTTAGGGAAGCCTGAGGAGTGAGGACCTCTTTGTCCATCAGGAAGCAACGACTTTCGAGGTGTGAACTCTGAGAGACATCGCCATCGCTCTGGCCTGCGTCTGCTTCCTCAGGGCAGGCACGCATCCGCCAGATCACCAACAAGCGGAGGAGGCTTCCCTGCCTTTCTTGAGGGCCTCCCAAGAGGATAAAAGGCTTCCAAGTTTCAACCTGTGCTGTGCTGCAGCTGTGCTCGCTAACAGAGGCTACTGAGTAGCTGCAAAGTTAAGTTGCGGAAATATACATCCAGAATAATGTAGTAAGTCAAGGAATCTCTCTACTTTGCTCTACATTCTTTGTAGGTATCAAGTGAGTATCTTGGGATTTTACAGACGGCTAAAGTCCTTTCTGGCCAGCTCCCTTACCAGTTAGGGTCTTGGCTTTAGCTGCTTTGTAAAACTCTATACCCTACACACCGAATCAGCCTCTTACACGGGCTGACGTAATTTTAGCCAACTACAAAGCAGTGCCTGCTGAACTCATCGCGTAAGGCTCCCTTTGGAGCCAGCGGAGAGAAAGAGAGGAGACAGACACCCTCAGAAAGAGATTTATCTCACTTGCTGTAGTGTGGGATAAGTCTGAAGGTGCCCATCTGTCTCATGACTTTGGAGGGAACGGAGATGCCTAACTAAAACACAGCCTATTGCTTTTAGATGGTTACATCAGGTGAAATTCATCTCCCTTCTGTTCATTCCTTCACTACATACTTTCCATCTTCAGAGAAGACCCGGAGTTGAATTCCTCCTCCCTGCAGTGAGGTGGACAGTTTCAGAGCCAGAAGTCTGGCTAGCAGGTACAGCAGATGAAACATCCACTTGCATACAGCACGACTAGCTTTATCTGGGGTTTGCAGGTTCCTGTGGACCTCTTGCTTTACAGTAGGTCTTGAAATAGGAAGATGAAAAAAAGACTTGCCAGGATGTTTAGATAAATTCAATGGAATTATTGGGAACAAAAGAGTATGTGTTCATTCTCCCTGTAGTTTCCCACAGGAAAGGTTTTACTTGCATTGGTAGCTGCCCTTTCTGTTAGCAGGACAGGTGGGTTGCTGGGATGAAGAGGTGCAGAAGACAAGCATTTCCAAACCAGTGAAACCTCAAGCTCACACTGCTGTAACAACGAAAAGTCTGTGTCGAGCTGCATGCTCATACAGCATATTACACACAGAGAAAGGTAAAAACATCTTGCCCCAGAGATCTTGCAACCTGCACAAACCAAGTCAGACAGATACAGGACAAAAAATGGAGAAGAGCTGAGAGGCAGGAGAAGGTGGGCATGGCTGGATCCCTTGACGAAGAGGGCACTTCCCCGAGGGTCCTACATGCAAGAGAGGGGTCTTGCTAGATGAGGACCAGAGCTGTTCCCGGAAGACTTGAGGTCACTTGAAAGAAAACTGGATGTCACTACAGAGCTGTTTCTTCCAGGGTCTTCCAATGAGCACGAAAAGGAAGATTAAACAGCTGCTACTACAAAGCAGTCTGGGCTGACATAGCTGTAATTGGTGGTAGCACAGGCTGGGGCAAAAGAAAAACAAAACAAACCACAAAGCTGACACTGAAGGAAAGAAAGACAGACAGAGAGAGTTGAAGAACAAGAACACAGACGAGCGTGGCCTGGCAGCACCCTTGTCCAAAGGACCCCAGGTCCCCCCGTCCATCTGCTGATATGAAGACTCCTTATACCCACTGCAGGGGCTGGTGTAGAGGGATGCGGGAGAAAAAGGGTTAGTCCATAAACACCAGGCTGGTAGTAAGAGAACACTTGCATGGTTTGTACTGTGAACCACAGAAATGTTGTCTATTACTCAGATAATAATTATAGAAAAATCAATCACAGCTTTTAATACCAGCGCCACTTTTTCTGATGAAGACATACCTGTCCAAGTGCACAGTGTTGTAATTTAAAAACAAACAACTAATGCTTTATCCCAACATGTTGTTTTCCAAATTACCTCAATAAATAGATATATTTGCATGACATTATTTTAAAGTGAATTAGCATGTTAACAAATGAGAGGCGTAACAAAGACCTGGAATAACAGAATTATAACTCAATTATCAAAACAAGGTCAGACGGTGTTTTCAAAAGGAAGTAAACAGGAAGAGTGCATACCTTGAGAGGAAATTTAAAAGGAAGCATGGAGTCAAATGAGAACAAATTAGTAACAAGAGAAAAACAAAATAAATATTCAAATTCACATTCAGTTTCCAGGAGAATAATACATTCGAACAAAACCTCATTTATTTATCAAAATAGCTTGAATTTTGTTTCTACTCATGGCCATAAAACATATTTGATTTCCTACAGTACACAGAAATAATATGCTTCTCACACTACTCAATTTTTAATTGGGCTCTTCTGATCGATACAAGACGGCTGTTATATTGACAAATAACCCTGAACAACTTTGGTGCAAACTCTCCTGTTCTAGAACCCCTTCATATTCTGAGCACACGTTACCTGGTACCCACTAAGCTGGGAGCTCAGTCCCTTGCTCAGACGCCCAGCCAGCCCTCTACCTCTCCTGCCGGCCCCACGCGGCCCGGCGGCCCTCGCCTCAGCTGCTGAGACAGAACACAATAAATAATAGCATCTCAAGCACTGACTTGAGATGCTTCCATCACAGGAACTGGCAGTGGGAGTTTCAGAAATGTCTAGTTACCCAGCTCTCATTGCTATTTTGAAAGTCCCACAAAGTCATTCCCATGGCTTTTAATAGGAGTCTCTCGAGTCTGTCCTCTGCTGCGAAAATAGGGATCTAGAAATACACTCTTAAATGACCAACCTCATGAGATAATTTTTAATGAACCCCCTGTCTTTTTCCATCAGCAATTAATTAATCTAGCCTCTTTGTTCCACATGAATAAAGAGCAAAATGAAAATACATGCTCTCATAGAGATTTCAAAGATATTTTCGCTCAGAACAGTGTTACAAATTTGACTGTGTTTTCTCCTGATTCCATTTGCCGTACACATCTTACATTAAAGCAAGTTTAATAATCTACTTTTGATCCATCGAAAGTGAATTTTCAGTGCTTTAGCTCACTAGGCAGAAAACACAGCGGCCTTTGATAGCGGAACAAAACTGCTGGAACAAATGTTGATTCCATCAAGGGATGCACTAACCCCCATTCTTTGGCTGCTATCTGATTCCATTTAGACGACTCCTATTAAATACAGAGAGGAGAGTATAGGGATATATCCTCTGGAATATCCACACAGCATACTCACCAAGGATAGATCTAACTAGTCATTAGATGTCACAGCTGTTCCACACAAAGGCAGCTCAAAGAGCCTTTATCAGCAAGTACAAAAGTGATCTCTCCAGACTGCTTGTCGGCATCTCTCTACAAGTGCTGTACGCTCTCGTATAAGAAATTTATTCAGACAAAACTCACAATGGAAGAATGAAGCCCCTTTTAATGGCAATAAAATAGTATGAAACATTCATATAGTCAATGTACTGTGAATAGCGTAACCTTACAAAGATACGGATTAAGAATGGAATACTTAGGAATAGTCCCTTATATGGAAAAGAAATTTGACATTTAATCAACTTAAATCAACAGGAACAGTGTTTCTGGAATTTAAACCAAGGTACTAAATTTCTCTTTTTTTCAGTAACAATGCACGTAACTGCCTGGAATCTGTTATCATGAAAGATAACAAAATAACTGGACAACATCTTCAAACGAGGGCCATGTATTAATACTGAGCTAATAGCTTCTGATGGACAGATAAAACAAGCAGGTTTACTGCTGTCTCTTTTTTTTTGGTAGGTATTTCCACGGCACTTATCATGGTAGTATTGAAAAAAAATAGAGTATGTTCCACTTGTTATATAAGGTAAATGGCTGAACATGTCAGAGAGTCACATGAGAGCGTAACAAAAATCCTATGCGCTTCTATTTAACTGTCAATAAACAGACCTAGCGGAAACAGTGCAATGCCTGCAGCTTTCCATGTGATGTCCCAGTGCTTATTTCCCGGTCCTTTATATTGGGCACACACATGGTCAACAGCAATTTAAATGTTATCACAACTCATCACCTTTAACAGCAAGCAGAGAGGCAACGTTTCAATACAGAATTCAGGCATAAAGCAGAAACACAGTATATAAACAGGAGGAGAAGGCCAACAGCTATAACTATACAGTGAGGCAGCACACCCAAACACCGATAACATCCAGGCGAAAATGTGTGCGTGTTTTACGTAGGATATATATGCATCTGTGGATAAGGATGAAATCTAATCGCTGCTATCAAGACTTTTAAAACATACGCATGACTTGCATCAAATACCAACAGGCATACACCAGTATCTCTGAAAGTCCTGGATTTCGCTGCGATCATTAGGAGATCTGAATGTGCAATGACTGTGAACTCAAAGGATCATTATTACATTATAACAGGCAAAATCATGATCCTTTCCATGAAACTTCATAGAAGTTTTGTCACTTGCTTCAGTGAGGCTACTCAAGATCCCTACCACTATACGGACCAGGAAAACCTGGTAACTTTTCAAGGATTCAGGTATTGAAAAAGGTACACAAATACGGAGATCGACAAGGTGCGTTCGAATATAAGTGCTTAGTTAGAAAAGATCTGTCTCTCTTGCCTTAATTAGCAACCTTGTTAAAGGGAAAAACTGCGTCCTGTTTGTACTAAGCAGGTATTTTTAATGATTGAAATAGCTGTAAACTGGTTATTAAAATATTGTCATACAAAATATAACTAGTGCTCCATCAGTTAGAAACTAGGTAATTTTACTGCTTATCACAGGCACATCACCAAAGTATTTTACCAGTGTAAATGTAGAAACATTATATGTATTATTCAAAAAACATTTGTGGTATGCATTGTTCAATTAGAGAGAGCTTCACTATTCTCCGGTGGTTTTCAAAATGCTTCTTTTAAAAAAGAAATATAATTCTACAGTAGTTAATACCAGTGCTCTGTTAAATTGGAACTAATATCACACGTTTTACTACAGCCTTATTCAGAAAGACTGTCTTCAGGAACAAAAAAGATCTTTATGGAAACTGGCAATGCTTATTAGGCCATATTGACTATGAACACAGGGACAACTGATTACACTGGGTTGAAATAACAATACACGTGCAGGGTAGTACACAATGACTGTTAGAGGGGCACATATGGAGACCTGAACATACGAAAGATGGTGGTAAGCAAATTAGTAATAGATGAAAGGATGGTTCAAGAAGAACAAAACTAGAGAAATCAGGCACAAAAGAAAGCAAAAAGACTAGCAGAAGCCATGACAGGAGTGGAGGTGTTTTAAAGTGCTGTTGCATGTGACTTTTTAAAAGAAACGATTCTTATTTTGCAAAGCAGAATATGTTATATGCACCAAGGAGATGACCGTAAAATGAGATATGCAGCAAAAACACGGTAGCCCTCCAAGCATTGCTGAAAACAGAAAACCCTATGCATTTTACAGCCTCAACATGGTGTATATAAGTTTGGCAGAAATGCATAAATGGCATTATAAGGCAATGCCACTCACTCTGGAGGTGAATGTTAGCAAGCATGGTGGCTTGATGATGCTTAGCATTGAATGGAATGTCAAAATAAAAAATTCGGAATTAAAAAGAAAGTTGAAAAAGTAACCTATATGCACCATGGCATCAGAAAATGACCATAAAATGCAAAAAGGTGATGGAGTGATATGGAACAAACCTTGGAGAAATATCGCATCCTTGCTGCATAAAGGCACCCAGGGAAAACCAAAGGCTGTTAAATATTCCAAACTCATTTGGAGGGTCGGGAGGATTCTGAGGGTCACGTGGTTCTTCACTGCTGTCTTCCAAGTGCCATTCGTAAGGGCTGAATCTGCTGACTAGGAAAAGAACTACGCTGACGCCAATGTAAGCAAAGACTATACACATCCAAATTTCATAAGCCAAAGGATCCAGGAAAGAGAATACGCCCGGTTTAGATTTCTGAGGCTTCTTGATCATGATGGAGATGCCCAGGCTCATAAAGGGTTTGGAAAAGTCTATGACTTCTTCTCGCACCAATGTTATGGTGAGGGGGGCAACAGCTATATCTGCTCTCTGAAAAGGGAAAACAAACCCAAGTTAGTTACAAAACAGTTGCAACGTAATCACAATCTAGAGTCTCAGGCTAATGAATCAGATGATAAATTACAAGAGTGAGCAGGAAACATTTTCTTTGCAGCCTATTTTGCAGTCACTGAAGTTAAGGACTACATGATATTGATAGAAAATTATTAACAAGAAAAATTACAATTAAATCTGTGCAAGGGCCTCACGACAGAGGCAGGTGTGTACCAATATGTATTTACGTTTCTATTAAGTTAAAATGGATGAATAAACACTACACAAACTGGGCAGTGAGTTGGCAACTAGAACAATGTCATTTTCTAGTAATGGTCTGTATCCATCCATCTGTCTTGAAGACTTTGGGCAAATTATGTGTTTGTTACATTTTAATTTTCTCTTTTCCATTCTTTCAGCAAGTTCTCTTGCCTTACTGATTAGTCCAGGATCTTTAAAAGGAACGTAAGAGAAGTAATCAGTCACTGAATTTCAGCTGCATTTGGGCGCTACCACTCGTATACTCCTTTGAAACCCCATTGCAGTAAGGGACAGAAGATGGTAAAATAGTAGGGTGATAGGAACCAGATAGCCCACCCTTTCTGTGGTCACCAAAGAACAATAATACAGATTTGTGAGTCCCTGGGAAGTAAATAGCCTGGGTTATCTGAGAAGAATGCAAAGTAGTCTTTTTCAGTACTATGTATGCCATCCTATTTTACAGAACTTAGCTCTATAGATCTTAACATAGACCCTGCTCTGGGGCTGTGTCATCTGGAAGCACAATTTCATCTCGTTGCATCTGTCATTCACCAGCGTGTTGGTATACCCTGAACCAACACCCTTCCCTTCAATCAATACATCTTTGCTGGATTCCACGGGAGGGTAAGAAAGTGAAGTAAAAAAAATTACTTAGTTACCTCATTAAAAATAACATTCCAGAATAGACTTTCAACATATTTAATTGTATCTGTATTTCTATGCCAGAAAGATTCAAGTCATCCTGTTTAGATAACCTAGCCTTGATTCAGCCAAGTACTCAAGCAATGTCAGCATTTGCAACGGAGGCGACTAGAATGTTAAAAAAAAAAAGCCCTTTTCATTTAAAAATTATTGTTATGAGAGTCTACATACCTACACACACTTTTTTGTAATCTTCTATTTTAAACACTCTAACTATTCATGTTATTGATACTTTTAAAGATGGCCTTTCATTGGTAATTAAGAATTTCAGAAAGAAAAAATGATTCTTAGGGAACGTTCAACTTACCAGGACCTAAACCACTGTGCACCTTTTAAATCAGATTTTTGTTTCCCACTAGTAAGTATGTATCTCTTTCTGGTGGAAAAATAAAACCTGATTAAGTAGAAGTTTGAATAAAAGTTAATAGGAAATGTTAATAAGAAGTGATTAAAATCTGTGCCATAAAATGATTGAATATGCCTTTATGGAAATCTGATGGTGATGTACGTGACTTTCATTACTATCTGATCTGTTCCTCCTCCTAGATAGTTGGTTTGGGTTTTTTTTTTTTTAAGTTTAATAAGCAGAAATGGTGAAGGCTTCTCATAAGGTTAATCTCCGTACCACACGCTCAGTGCCAGCTGGTGCCTCAGTGGCACGGTGCAGCCATGCCCGAGGCACCTTTCTCGGTTTTTAAGACCGAGGCTAATGGAGACTTGTCAGAGCGAGGACTGGCCCTCTACAGCCCTTCCCACAGCAAGCCTCCCTCCATGAAGTACCCGTCTGCACACACGACCTCTAGATTTGCTCCTAAGCAGAAATGGTGAAGGCTTCTCATAAGGTTAATCTCCGTACCACACGCTCAGTGCCAGCTGGTGCCTCAGTGGCACGGTGCAGCCATGCCCGAGGCACTTTCTCGGTGTTTTAAGACCGAGGCTAATGGAGACTTGTCAGAGCGAGGACTGGCCCTCTACAGCCCTTCCCACAGCAAGCCTCCCTCCATGAAGTACCCGTCTGCACACACGACCTCTAGATTTGCTCCAGCCACTCAGGAATATCTCTCAACAGTTTGTATTGGCACGTGCAACTACAAGGTATGTGTACAAGTTCACTGCTTCGAGTAATCAGATAAACCATGCCTGTGCACGTAAGGAAGCCATTCGGAAATCATGGCCCTTGGCGTACCCTCTCACAGCCCTCCTCAGCCCCTTTAGACATTCATGCGTACTAGGACATTGCCTTTCCCCTTGAGTGACCGCTTTCCTCGAGGAGAAAACCCTCACCTGATTTGTGGTCACTTACTGCAAAGATCTAGCTTAACGTGGCTTGAATATAAAAAATGAAAATGCCGGCTGCCTTTGGATGCCTGGGTGTTTACTGGCTTTGCAGATGAATGTGTTAATTACCCAAGTAATAAAGAGACTTGGGGGGGACACGGGTAGAGTGTGGTAAAGGGACCGGATGATGCTGGAATTTGTTCACTGATGAATTCCCCCAAAACATATATTTGTCTTGTAGCTGCTGCTTGTTGAGCTACTGTTAAATATGAGATGTCTGCAGTCAGTAAGTATGAGATGCACACAGCATATCAGTTTTAAATGTAGTCAGAGTCCACGGCTGGCTGGAAGACTAAGCACTTTGACCGTGGCTACTGTATTTCGTGTTGAACTAATGATGTACTTACTTACAAATTAATCCTTATTAGAGCAAGCTTAACGGACCAGGACTCCTGCAGAGACTTAGCAATGATTCTACATGCAGTGAAGCTTAGGTGGGAAGCAGGTGCCTTACTGCCTGGCACTTCTGCACATGGATAGCCAGCCTTGGAACAGCTCGTCAAGGTAGGAAAAGGCTGGTTCAGCTGTAAGAGCATTTAGTTTCTGTAGCATTTTCCTGGACTTGGAGAAATTTAATTCTCCCAAAGTAATATTTTAATTGCCAAAGTAGACACGGTGGACCTCTTCCTAAGAGCTGATGCAGCGTGCAATAAAGTCTGTATCATCTCCTTCATGAGCAGCTGAGTTCATGCAGGATGTTCCTGTGGGTCTTTGGGAGGATGAAGCTGATGCTGTGCTGAAGCACAGACAAATCAGTTTTTAAAAGCCTGATTGTTACCATGTCCTCATTCATATCATACAGTACGGATTTCTTTGTAAATGATTTAAAATTGCATTTTCATATTACAAGGGATACAAATATTTATTTTTCTGATACATTTCCGTCTTCCTGCTTTCCTACCATTTTTGATGGCCGTTCAATATATTTGAAACACCAACAAACACCCTCATGCCTTAAATGAATATGGCAGCAATTGTTTTCTGCAGAGGGAACAAGAACAGGTTCAGACAGAGGGTGTCAGGAAACCATTGACAACGAGGGCACTGAGAGTGGACCAGCTACAATCCAGCACCCGAGCCTGGTTCCCCACCACTTCCCTGAATATCAGTTGCACTAGAGAGGTTAAAAAACAGACCGCTTTTTGCTTATTTATTTAGAGATACAGTATTTGAAATGGAGAGCTTATGGAGAGCTCCATGCACCCTAAAGGATCATTAATAATTGCAGCACAGTTGTGAATTTCCCTCCCTGTTATGGCTGCAGATAAGCAGAACCCATAAAAATTGAGCTCGAGTAAAAAAGAACACAACCACGACCACAAACATGCCCTCCCCGGTGCAGAACTGGAGGGGGGTTTAAGAACCTCAACAACTAAGCTTTGCTAATCACTCATGACTAATGGCGTTTCAAACATTATCTTCACTGCATTTGAGCCGGGCAAGAAATGTCATGGATTCCTCTGAGGCTTGTTCTGTCTTTGCCTACTAGTGTGGGAGGGACGGATTTAGAGAGGACATGCAGCACAGAGGCGCTACCCACTCTGTTCAAAGCTGACCCCAGGGGGCTGCAAACCTCAAGACTCTTAAGGGGAGGGAGAAAAAATAGCAAATGGAAATATCCCTCTACATGGAGAAAGAAAAACGATAAGATGTTCCACCTCTGTAATCCAAAAGGAGGGATCAAATTCTGCTGCTTACAGACCGAAAGATGAATCTTCCTAACTTCAAAGCCATGCACTGGAGACAGCAAGAGATACAGGCTATGCTCCTGCCTGTACATGCTTCTGGTCATTCATGCTTGCAGAACTGAACAATTTCTTTGCTAGTGTGTTGCTGTTCAAGAAGTGGGTCTGGGCTACAGTCTCAAAGCAAGTACCAGTGTTTAAATGTGCAATGACATTTTTCCTTTGAGGACTTTTACCCGAGTATTTTGTCTTTTGCTGCTCTTATAACACAGGAATATTTCTGCTACTCTTCTCCTCCCTGTGTGACGGGAAGCCAGCCAGCACTCAGACTATGTGCCGACCAAAGCAGAGGGACACTGCCCAATTTCCATCGGGAGCCAAACCTCCAGGCACCCCAGAAGTGCTGAATACAGGTACACAGTGGTGTCAGAAGAGACTGCGCTGGAATGACGACTGACTCTGAGCACATTTTAGGACTTCTCAGTGCAGCCTGAGGTTTCCACGTATCAGAAAAGGGTGTCAGACAGAGCAACACATCACCTGTGGTATCTGCTGGTAAAAGCTACCTTGTAAAGAGAGTCCAGTATACCCAAGGATATCAGGGTGCGTTGAGAGGCCAGGTCATGGGGGCAATGTGTTTTTAACACATTAGCTCACACTTATTTAAAAACAACAGCCAATATCTGACTATCAACATGCTGCATTGAAATCTTAATGTGTATTAGCTGAGCAGTGTAAAAAGGTATTAAGGTGTTAAAACTGCAGTTGGCCTTGTCTGCCATAGTTTGTCAATGTTAAGTCCACGAGTGCTTTATGTGGATGCCCACAGTTCCTTCTGAGACACTACTACTGTGTGCAGATGGAGGAATTAAGGGTACACCTGCTTTTTGAGCTGCGGACATATGTGTGCTTCCTCTGTCTGTGCTCGGACGCAGGTCAGCCGAAGTCTGGGACCACATCAGCGTGGCTCTGTGCCAGGGCTGCGGTCCTGTCCCACGGCGCAGTGCCACC